TGCTCAGCAAAAATAAATTAGCAGCAATGTCTGCAGGACAATTGGCATGAAGCCGATATATATACAACCAGTAATATTTATAACATCTAATCAATGAAATCCATAAACTTTCACTCACTACATTCATCTCTTCCTGTTAGATGGGACGACAGCAGTGATCTCAGATTACAGTTCAAAGTTCATAGTCTCCACGCATAGAGAACACGGACGATACAATTTTACACAAACAGCACAATCAATTGAGCCTACAGGGAGCTAAAGACCTGTTATTTACCTAATAGATATCAGACTTGTGAATTTACAGAATAGCTCTCTAGCATGAACTTGGGAGCCATTTAGCCTGAGAGGCCATCCTGAGCTTCCAAGTGTCTCGTAGTGGGGGAAATTATCCGGAACATTCCAGGACCCAAGAAAGAACTCTTCTGCCCAAGAAGAGGTGCTTACTCCATTGTTAGCAGACTGGCAGCAGTACATTCAGGTGGCTCAAATGAAGTGCAGGCAGGATATACTGGCAAAATCTCACAGCATGACACACCCTTTGTATGTCTGTGTATGTGTGTGTGTGGGGGCTCCGTGCCAGACAGTCCAATACCAGGATGAGAAACACTCTTCTAATGTATTTACAATGTTCATGGACTGCAAAAAGTCATGTGCACGTCTGTTTTTGAATAATGCAGATATAACCTATTGTTAATTTTATTAATTTATTTAAAAACACACACACACACACACACAAATACAAGTCAGGCTTTTATTAGTAAATTTATTTGTGTTAAATTATTTATAAGTAAGATGTTCATTACTGCATTCTTAATGATGTTCCGAAAGCCCAAACGAGCTTGGGTGGCCCCCCAAGTCTGCGGCCCATGATTCCCTGACGCACACTAATACTTGAACATCACACTCAATGAACTCAATCGCACTGGTGCACCGGTCCTGACCCATTAACACCAATAAGGGGTCTCCCATGGAAAGACACCAGCACGCCTGTCAAGCATCCTTGTTCCGCTCGCAGGACAAAAAACGAAATGGACGGGCAAATAAATGGAGGGAATAACAACGGCGCAAAGAGCTGAAGCACTGATGTATGTGACGTGCGTAACAGTCCCACTCAGTGAGGTAACCGCGCGTGGGTTTCTGCGGGAGCAGCTCGTTAAAGTCGACATTCGACGAGCCGAATAAACCCTTAGGGCTAAAGCCCTAAAGTCCACAGTCACCGTCAGAGTGGTGCAACATCTCGGTAACTCCGCTCTCGGCATGTGTGGAGGAGAGCTAAAGACGTGCATTTCTTTGCTTCTTTCTGAATTTGACCAGAGTTAACAGGATCTGTCTTTGTTTAGTGATGCACGAGCATAAACTGTTCCTTCCTATTATCACCATCCAGGAGATCAGAGCACCTTCTCAGAAAGATGCCGTCCAATAAATGACACATCGCCAATCAAGTCCTCCTCACTGCCATTGCTGCCGGTCCCGGCCAGCGACCTTGGACACCCCCCCAAGGAAACTCTTTGACAAAACTTGGGACACTGAGGTACATGTGATGTGGGTCCGGCTGCAGTGACTGGTGCATCCCGTCCCCCAGCCCCCACCTCTATTACATTCCCCTGCTGTATTTGATTATAGTCAAACAACAAATGAAAACGTAGCAGAGCTCATGACCGCAAACTGGCATTCGCATTGCAAAGACCAGCACCGGAACGCTAATGCTGAAGATTTCCATGGCAACTTAGAAAAATCAGTCCCATTATTATAGGGACTGATTTTATAGGCCGATTCCCGCATGACTGATCACTTTATAAAACTTTCGCCTTCCACATTTTCTTCAGAGAAAGGCTGCAGCTGCCCCCCCCATGACCCTGACCAAGATAAGCTGCTAGATTTTCTTCAGACTATAAGCACAGACTTAGCCCCCCCCCCCCCTGTCATTACACGTACTGTTTCACCCATTTATCTCTAACTTACACAAGGTTCAGTCCTTAAATATGCTGAGGTTTGGCATCTGACACAAGCAGTGGCTGGATTTATCTACTAGCGGAATTATTGTTGCAACCTGATATTGTCACAGGTTCATGTTTCCCAATCCGGTCCTCGGGGGGCCCCCAGACGGTCCGTGTTTTTGCTCCCTCCCAGCTCCCAGTAAGCAAAAACTTGGAATATGGGGGTCCCAAATGACCGGGTTAGAAACCACTGATGTATATCACACTACTAAATACACGACTGTGAAAGCAGCGAACCTCTAGCTTGATGAATTACTGTAAATACAGTTAAGCATCAAGTCTTTTCGTTATTAAATAGATCAAGAAAATTTGTTTTTCTGTCTAACGTGTTTCTGACACATTGCGTGCTTGTTTAACACACCTTGTCACAGGATATGAGACAGCAGACGCACAGAGACGCCTGATTTCACAGCTGCCCCCACACACAACAGTTCAGGAGACTGCGGCTTTAAAAGTGACCCCCCCTTTTTGGTGGATTCTCTTTTCAGCTCAGAGACTATGTGGCACTTCCTAAACATCCCCTATTAAGCCCCCAAACCACTGGCGCACCCAGCGGACCAAAAACACTACATTACCCATCACCACCCACCCAGCATGGCCCACAATCCCACACCACAGATGGAGCATGACAAAGCTGGCTATTCCTCACTGTCCCTCCAGGGCTGCTGGGAACTAGCCTGCTAACAAATGGCGTGTGCAGTCCCGTAGAGCAGCAGCAGCCTGCCGAGGCAAACCTGTTGAAGGTCACTGAAAAGTCCACATCCTACGTGGTCCTCTCACCACCGCGGAAGCTGAAGTGCTGCCAATCGAAAATATCAAGCATGAGCTCAGTCGTCACTGTTTTAACTCCTGCTTGTTATGCAGTATCTAGGAGATACCAGGAGAAACCAGGAGATACCCGAAAACTGTCAGCTATACAACGGACCCCTGGATCCTGGATCCATCTGTGCTCTATGTCCATTAAGCCTCCCTGCACAACCAGGCTTCCAGACCCTGGTAACATCCTCCTTCAGCTACGACCATTTCCTCCCACCCGACCTCCAGGCCAGCATCAATCTACCCACCCACCCCAGTCATCCCCAGCTACCATTACTGCACGTGAATCTGACGTGGCCACTTTAGTCTTCGCTTTACCAGCTCCCCCCCAACCCATCTTTAAAAAACCTAAATATGTCATATATCTGCTTACTAAACAAAATGCTAATTCCTTCAACTTTGGTCCAGAATAAAAGGATACTAAAAAACCATGGGTCAATTTAATGAAAAACAATTTAAGGGGGGGTCAGCGATTCCATGGGCCCCTGAATGACAGGGGCCCTAAAAATTTTCAAACATAATTAGATTGGTCTGGGTTGAGGGTCCAAAATGATACACTTTCACAGGGCCCAACATCTCTATCAGTACCCCTGGTTACAAGAATTAAAAGAAGCGCAAATATCACATAAAAGTCTGTTCTTTATTTGGTTGGGTACAAAATAGTTATTTTGGGTTTATATGCTTGATGAGGACGCATTGAGAGTTCTTTGTGTTTTCTTTTGGCTGTTGAGCAGCACAGACATGCCCAGAGAGCCCACTGAGTCTGAACTTCCTGTACCAAATGATTCCCAGGTTAACCATGCCTCTCAGCACCTCTGCCGGCCCTGCCCTCAGCCTTGACTTTCACAGTTGTGTAGTTATTGTTACTCCTGCTATTTCTGGAACTCGTACTTCTGTTGGAGGATATGCAAAAGAATCCTCCAAAGATCGCCCGTTATGGCTACCCGCCATTATTGTGGGAGACATTTACAAGTTGGTGGTCTTGAAGTCTTCGACAGTGTATGTCGCTCCCTCTATTAGACGCGCATGCTACTTTAAAACTAAACCGCCAGCCGGTGACGTATCCTCCACATGTTTCCGTCATCCCCATTCAGGCTGCCCATCAGGACCTCATCATAATATTGTCCCGCTGTCCCTGGAACGGTTTAGGGTCAAAACCCTCTCATGCGTCACCGTTAAACACTGTGGCCGCTGTGGGCAGATGGCACCATCCAAAGCACGACACGGAGCGTGTCAGGCGCCGTGCGCTTTCTCAGAAGAATAAACCCCTTTCACCAAACTCATCTTTAGCGCCCGCATTTTCTTTCGACGCATAAGCCAGCGAGTATTTCAAGTGCACAACGGTAATTTGTTGCTCTTGGCGTCCGCCGACTTGTTAATGAACCTTGAAAACGTTTTCCTTTTTTCAGGAGCACACATCTCTTCTCTCCTACCCTTTGCACATAAAGGTGGAGACAGACACACTCGCAGATATAAACAAGGAAGAGCAAAGTTGTGTCCCGGTCTCAAGTCAAATTTTCAGTAATTAAGATGTGGTGCTACCTCCAAAACCCATGCAGCTCAATTTCCAAATTAAGAATTCCGTATTATACTCTGATATTAAAATCTGATTTTACAGTCGCGATATTATTAAAATGTCATTGGGCCATATGGCTTGTTACAGTGGTTTTAATGAGCTAATGCTTTTGCACGGATGACCTCTATTTCAACAGAAACGAATGATCCACATTGGGGGGGGGGGGGAGAGTAATAAGTGCTAATAACTTTGCTTTGCTAAACGCAAAAGGGGAAGCTCGTATATTATATCGCATATAAGCATGTCAGGACTGACAAACATTAAAATGAATAAGGTACCAAAACAGGCCTGTGCGCTGCTGCGATCGGCGACTTTAAGTAACCAGGCGAGTGGACGTCAGTAGGCTAGTTCATCGTTTTCCGTTGTAGGAATCAACAGTACGGGTTGGGTTCGTTTACTTTTCAGAGGAAATAGATTGAATAAAGCTGCACGTATTTCATTAAACGCGCGCGCACATGTGTGTCTCTGAATATATATATATATATATATATATATATATATATATATATATATATGTGTGTGTGTGTGTGTGTGTGTGTGTGTATATATATATATATATATAATATGCCTAACGGTTTCATTTCATAAGGGTCTGTACTGTAATGTCTTACCTTCTCTTGCTTTCAGTAGTACCGTGTTTGCCACAATGTTCTCCAGCTCCATGAATATTCTGGATGATATAAAGGTGAATCACAAAGAAATAATAAAAAATAAAAAGAAAAGAGACTTGATCAGGGTCGTATCCCAGGCTGTTACTCACTGTTCGTCGTTGCAATAAGGTTTCGAATTATCTCACGTTCTTGCTTAAATGCGGCGGATCAGCGGGCAGGTTATCGGCGAATCCCCCGTGTCGCGCTTACACTTCATGCCGTCGTTTCCCAACATTTCTTTGGGGGAACATTTTCCAGCGAGAAAACACGGGAGCCTTTGGATCGTGATCCGCCGGCGGATGCCATCAGTCTCTGAAGATAAAAGCCGTCCATGTACACGGGAGCCTTTACATTTTTTTCAAATATAAACATAGATCTGTGTGTTTCTAGAAATGCATGAAGCTGGGTGGATTGCAAAAACCCCAGGACTACGGAGTTGGGAAGTAAGATCTCGGCTTTCAGACTAGCTATATGCTCCCCCTCCCGGTGCGCAATCAATGCAGGTTTTTTTCCCTTAGGGAGGGGGGTGGTCTTGACTGTTTTCCAGAGCGGCTTCCCCGTGGATCTAGTGAGATTAAGAAACGCATCAGGCAGGTATTGTTTTATGGGGAAGGATAGGGCAGATAGCCCGCCCGTGGTCTGTTTTTTTCTCCTATGCTTCTTCGGCATAAATGGGGGCGTAGCGAGGGGAGGTGGTGCGTTCTACCCCGCCGCTGTAGCGCAGGCTGTCGGAAGAGGCGTTACCCGCTGGTGGCCCTAACTTATGGACGCAGGGAGAGCAGGAATGTCTAGCTGTCGGAACCATCTGTTAGGGGCTGAAAGTGGAAACCAAGTGATGGAGGAGTGATCGTAGGTGTTACCATGGCTGCTGCGTTGCAAACATATGTAGATAAAGTTCTATTTTCGAAGTGGAAGCATTACAGAAATGTAATGTTTTAAATGTAAAAAAAAAATGACTACGGCTGCTGTCATGTTAGGTAAATAGCCGTCTTTCTTGAAGTCCACAACCATTAAGAGCAACGGTTGTATGAACATTATTGAGGAAAAACATATGCAATTAAATGATAGTAACACACAATTTCAGATATAATGCATGCTCTGTGAGGAAACAACCAATTTAATGGAAAACAATTTAGAAATCCACATAATGTTTGTGGAACAGGCCAGGAAGCAGTGCTGTTAATTCCATACAGTGCAAAATACATGGACATTTCCCTAAGATCAATGGGAAACAAAGGACTTACTAAATATTTTTAAAATTGTCACTTGCAATTCTGACACTCTCCTGCTTGAGATGACCTTTTCAAAGAATGTATCCTCTGCAAGTAAAACACTGTATGTGCATCCAGCTCTGAAACATGTATCCTGTGCAGGGTCATGGAGACACAAGAAACAAGACAGGACGCACGCTGTATGGCAAGGTTTCTCAACCCAGTCCTCGGGGACCACCAGACGGTCCACGTTTTTGCTCTCTCCCAATTGGCAGGGAATTGGGAGAGAGCA